ACTCCTGGGAGCTCTCACTGTGATCAGTTCTGCTCCATTTGCATTTTGGAGTTCATTGTCCAATTCCAGCTTTAGCCCAGGCAGTCCCATCCTGCTTGTTTTTCTTTCTCCAGCCCACATTGTTTGTGCTCCTGGGCCTGAGATTTGGATTATTTGTCCTTGGTCCCTAGCTGGAGAAGGAATTATTTTGTCTCCCTGCTCTGTGAAGAGAGCTCGCCATCCCCTAATATGCAGCCCAGATCCACACACTAAAGCAGTGCAGAGTCTGAAAAATGTAAAAGCTCAAACCTGAGGCATCAGTGCAGTACAGGGCCCTGTCATATCAGGGAATATGCTTTTGTTTGAAGTTTCTTGGCTCAGTCAGGTTGAAGCTGGTTTAGAAGTTCAGGCTAAACATCACAGTCTGTGAGCTCCAGCAGGGATATGGAATGGTGACTGGGAGGTCTTGAAAGACATTTTTTGTTAAAGACATGGGTAGTCGTTTTCATTTTGCTTGCTGCCAGACTGGCTCCTCTGTTTTTAAGACCCTCTGGATGCTGAGTTGTCACTGAAACCAGTGCTGGGAATAGGGTGAGGACAGTGTTGAATTTGAGCCAGAGCAGGAGGTTACTTTGCTCTCCATTCTGGATTATACAATTATATGGCTGCATGTTTCTACTCAGCCAATTTATTGTCTGCTTTCAAAAAGCATATTCCCAACAAGCACTAGTAAAATATTTTGTCACATACTTGTAATTACTGCGTGCTTTCCTCTGATTTTCTACCTGGATGAAAGTTTGAAGAAAGAAGACAAAATTTTCAGTCTGTCACGGAATGAGACATAAAGGGGAGTGGGATTTGCTTGTGTGTGCTTTGTTCTGGGAGGGATTAAATATGGCTGAAATAAGTACTTTTTAGCGTGACAATGAAAAACTCAACAAATTTTAGCAATAAACCATAGTCAGCTGAAGATCAAAGGCATTATGTGAGGTGCAGAGAGAGAGGAGCTAGTATTGCTTTTGAAGTGAGGGATTTTTTTGGGGAGAGATGACATTTTCAGGGCACATTCTTTGCTGTGATTCTGATTCAAGCCATGTGGCAATGTAGGTAAATTCCTACAGGTTCCTCTTTTTAATCCGGTGGTGGAAAACCCCCACAAGTTGACTTCAGATTATTTTAGTGGTGTAAAAGCTGAAAAGATGCTGAGAGTCTTGTTTTGAAGTAGAAACAACAGAATGTTAAGTGGTGGATCTTTTCACACTAAGAGTAGCCCACGGTGCACATAGGTGTGGATGCCAGGGGAATAGAACTGGTCAAATAATTTCAGACATCCACATTTATTCAATAAATGTGACGTTCCCCCTCCTCACACAGCCCCCTTAATTATCAGGCTAGCCCAGAGATCCGAGGCTTTGAGGGGAGGAATATCAGGAGATGGTAAACATTTCCAAAAGAGGCTCTTACCCCAGATATGTTGGTTCAGCTCTCTTTATTCTGTGATGTCCATGTGGAGAGTGGGGCAAAAGAGGACGAACAGGAAATGTCAGGGGTCTCTATGGGCTTTGGACAGGGTGGGCTTCCCTGGCTCTCTGCCAACCCTGTTGGGGCAGGAAGGAGGGTCCAGGGATATCTTGATCAGAGTCACAGGGTCCCGGGGAAGGGGGCACAGAGTGCCCATGAGCTCACTGGAACATAAATGTATATATATTTATGCTTCTTTAAAATTTATTGGTGTTTTCTAGGTGAATTAGATGAAAAGCACACCTGGAAATAATTTGGAAAAAATAATTGAGATATCAAAATATTTTCCACTTTAATTTGAACCCCTAAAATTTTATATTTAAAATAAAACTAGGGAATTTTTCTTTTTGAGGTTGAATGAAACATTGCTTTTGAAACAGCTTTCTTGGGATAGATTCCTCTTTTTTGAAAATGGAACTTTTATGGTTTGACACTAACTTATTAAAAATAAGTGTTCCAGGAAAATAAATATGCATTCAAAGAGTAGAAAAATAAAATGTCTTTGCGCACCTTGAAAGGTCATGCAGAGAGATGTTTTCCCAAGTGGCTTTGAAGGCAGGCCCTGGAGGGGAGTTGAGTGGAGTGTTACATTTTGTCCCAGGATGTTTTTATTCATGAACAATTATAATCTTAAAAAAATAAACATTAAAATGTGTACACTCCAAAAAATGGCTCATAAAAACCACTTCTAATAATTGGTACCTATGTCAATAAGTAAAGCAATTTTTTGAGTCTTCTGAGAATCTTAGATTTTATACTATGTATTTAAAAAGTGCATTTTATTATATATTGCATATTTTTGTGGAAAGGGGAAGAATTTTTAGGTGTTATTGTCAAGTTGATTCTCAGAGGCTGAAAGACAGCTTCTCATTTCTGGGGAGATAGTGAACAGCACTGAATAGTTGACTTCTTTAAGTGAACCTTCTGGCTGATGACTCCTTTTCTTGTACTAATATGGCTTTGCTAGCTAAAGGTCAACTGTTGACCTGAACTCCATTTCCCAAGTGGCTTCCTGATTTTTGAAAAAGATTTGGATTGCAAGCCTTATGAATGTCATGCAGTGGCTGTGCCTCAGTCCTTTGAGACACTACACTGGGATAAACCCTTGACATCCTCCCAAGAAATCCATCCATCATCCATCCATCTGATCTTCATTGCACGACAGAAAAGTATCCTGAGGATGGGGAAAATTTGCTGTATCAGGGAACTCCTTATCACTGCTGGGCAACCTCCCCAGTGCTCCTGGGAAGGAAAAGAGGGGAGGAAGAACAGAAATAGTTCTGGGTTGTTGTTATTATCCTCCTCAGACTTCCTCAGTGAGGAAGGGCTCAAGCTTTCAGAGATGAGAGGTGGTGCTGAGGACCATGTAGAACAGTGGAGGATGGGCTGGGATATTTGGAGAGGGTATGGGGGTCATGTTGGTGCACAGAGCCTTGGGCAGCCCAGAAGGAAAGAGTGTCTTCAGAGGTGGAGAGAGGGATGTGCCTGGCTGGGTAGGAGGTGATGAAGGTGCACGTAAATCAGATATGAAAGCATATCTGCTTTGGGGAGGCAAAGCAGGAAAAAGCTTTGGGATTCTTGTTTCTAGCATGTGAGCAGTCATCCTTACAGCCAATTCTTTGTTTAAATCCCTGATGGTGACTGTGCTCCACAGACTATATGCCTGGTACAGGCTTAGTACCTGAGGACACTGTCATTGCACGGAAACCCACAGCGTGCTGCTTTGAATTTGTTTTGTAGTGTGCCATTCCTCCTTTGATCCTTGTCTCCCAGCCAGGGGGAACCACATCAGTCCTGCAACTCACAGGTCCTGCAGTAAAGAAACTGGGGCCAGATTTAGCTGCACGTGTGGGCTGAGATGGAAACGCTTCTTGGGAGAAAATGGAACATTTGCTGTTCTGGGTTCTTCAAGGGGTACCTAGTGCTAAAAGTAAAAACAAGATTGGCAAAAACCCCTGTTACAACTTGCTTTTTAGATACGTGGTCTACCTGAATTTTTAAAAAAGTAAGCAGCAGCAATTGTAGTGTCTCTATCAGATTTGCAAAATTAATCTTTCCCTTGAATCTCCACAAAAAAAAAACCCAGACAAATGAGAGGAACATCAACAACATCAATAATTTAAATCCCCCAATCTGGGAGCAAATCAAAAAGAACAATACCCCCAGGGAAAGTAAACTAATAAAATAACCTTCACAAAACCCCTGCCCTCAGCATCGTTTTAATCCAAAAAAGGGGGCAGAAAAGGCCACAAATTCCCTGAAGTCATGCAAGGCTTTGCTGGTGCCAGTGATTTTACAGGGAGGACCATAAATAAAGCCGATCTCCATCTGCAAACAGAGCGCTTCAAATAATGCCCAAATGCACCTTGGCTTCATTCGCCTCCAGCCGCGAGCGGCTCCGGAGGCACTTTTGGAAGTTTTAGCGCGGCGGCTTTCCCCGCGGCGTGACGGGCTGGGGAACGTGGATTTTGTGGGGTGGAAATGCTCCGAGCGCAGCGCCGGGGCTGGGATTGCAGAGGAAGCTGAGGCCTCCAGCCCTGCACAGGAAGCAATCTTAGAGCAGGCCTTAAATGCCAGATTCCAGGCAGAGTTTAACTAACCACTGACAGCTCTGTAAACAAAGCAGGGACAAAAAGAGAACAGCTTTCCCTTTTCTGGTAGTCATTTTTTGGTTTGGGGGCTGCAGGGGAATTCTGTAATAGTCGGCTTGATGGGATATAAACCGAGGCTGGAAAGGGTTTGTATATGAAGAACTGTAAAGGGGAAAATACTTCATGGACTAAATCATAGAGAAGAAGGTAGGGCACGGGCAAAACGTGCGGATTCAACTACAAAAAAAAAATATTGCTATTCTTCGTTCTTTCAGCAGGATTTGTACATAGTTTGACTTCCCCTGGGTGGTATTTAAAAGCAGTGGCTTATTTCTCTTGTTTCTCTTTTTGTTCTCTTTTTCTCCCCCCCCCCCCCCACCCCTTTTTTCCTTTTCTTTCTCCTCTCGTTTCCTCTTCACTTTCTTTTTTTCTGCATTTCTGAAGGTGGGGGTGGGAACAGCCAGACGGGGACTAACTTTTGCAGAACTTTTAATTATCTGTGCAGCTAAAGAAAATAAGAACTCTCTTGTGCAGTGCTTTTATTGCTTGTGGTGAAAAATTGGAAGCTTAAAGTTAAAAATCCTGCTGAATTGTCGCTTTTGTTAGTGGAAAAGACCTGTGACGTTACAAATAGCTAGTCTGTGGCTAGCAGATGTATACAGTCCTTACTTGAAGCATGTTGATTTAATTTTAACTAGGAAACTAAACGCAGGCACGGGCTATGTTTATGCTACAAGACATTTCATTAATCTTGTTTATCTCAACAGTACTGAGGAAGTTGAATTTTTTTATGGAAAAAGAAAATAGATACAGCGAAGCTAAGACAGCAAAACAAAACTAAATGGACTCAGTTGGTTAGATGCATCCCTTGTGCTTTCAGTCTCATCTAAGTGATCATCTCCTTTTTAGATTTGGATCTTCCCAGAGCTTGGAACACTTAAACACCCACCATGGATGACTTTGAACGCCGCAGAGAACTCAGGAGGCAAAAGCGTGAGGAAATGCGCCTGGAAGCAGAGAGGTGAGTTACTACATCTGGAAAATGGTGCTGCTGGCTGGCCTTTGATTAGCAGTGGCTATGAGAATTTCTGCCTGAAGTTCCAAAGAGTCCTTGTGCTATCGATATGTGCCAAAAAAACAGCTTTAGCTAATGTTGTGGGGTTGTATTGCCTAATTTCCTTACACTGCTTCCAGTTATTTTGCTACATGAATAAATGCAAACAGCAAAGGTGGTGGAATATGGCCATGTGAAATCATAGCAAGGAAATCTCATCCTCAGATGCTGTGTGAGTGCTGTGCAGAAGGGTTTGTGTTTGCCAGATATTTATGTATCAGTTATTATAGATGTTAAAGTTATAAGATATAAATTGAAAACTGGGATACACTTGGTATATGCAGTATAGCATATGTGTGAATTGTCTGCCATTACTGTGCTGTTGGTGTTGTGTTTGTACTGCCTGTTGCTTTTTATTCACTTGCAGTCACTTTATGTGGGCAACAAGAACCCACCTGCTGTCAGTTGTCAAAGATTTACTATGGTGAAATGAGAGCAGAATTTGATGTGGGTATGACGATGTCAATTTATGAAATAAATACCTAAAAATACAGGCAATGATATTTCATTAACTCAACCCAATTTACACCTGTACAGTTCTGTTTGCTTTAATGAAATTTCATGATTTACACTGGTGTAAGCAGGGAGAAAGGCTCCATTTATTTTTGAAGTATCTTCAGTGATAAAAAGATTTGATTTAGCTTATTAACACTGCACTGATTTAAAAAAAATAAAAGCTAGGTTTAAGCACATTTTGTTCTCATTTTTGTACTTAATTCTGAAGAGGGACTTAATTTTTGTTTCTTCTTCTTTGAGCAAAGCTGTTAAAGGAAAGGCCTTAGGGTTTGTTGGGAATAGAGGCCTTGGGTGGTCTGTGGAGGATGTTAGGGCTTGTAACTCCCTGTGTGAATTTCTGTAGAAAAATGCCACTTGACTTCTCTTTGAAGACCTCCAGGCTCTCATTGAGCTTGCAGAGGCTGTGGAGTGACCTGGGCATCGGCCATGTGGTGTGGCTGGTTTGGGCAGGCAGGGACAGCTCCAGGGGTTGGGGATAGTGGGCTCTTGCCTTGCCATCACTGGAGGTGAAATCCAGGGTGTCACGTGTATCCCATGCTGCTAATGGGAAGTGGTTTTTCCATGTCTGCTCTGTTGGGGTTTAGCCTGGTGCTTTCATGGAGGAGGGTAGCTTGGTGGCATCCTGGCCAGAGGAGAAGGACTTGAGCCTGTGTCCCTTTTTCTCCCTAATCACTGCAGATGTGCTCCATGCCCTTTCCCACACAGTTGAGGGCTTTCAACAATAAATTACTGTACGCTAAATCTTGCTGTACTCCCTTTGCTGCTGCCAGCTTCAAGCATTCAAGTACCATGAGTCAGACCCCTTAAAAGTCACAAGACTGCTTTAAAAATCTCAGGATCTTAAAAAGAATTTAGTCTGGCCTTTTTATTTTTGATTTGCCTTAACAATAACAGAGCCTGACTCTCAAGTTCAGCTCCAGGTGCTGGAACCTCCCAAATCCTGCCCCAGCAAGGGCAAAGTGGGGCAGGAGCTGAGCATCTGCCCCCATTGCAGTGCTCACACAGAGGGAAGGGAAGCAGCACTGGGGCAGTTATTAATAAATGAATATGTGATGCTGCATTGGTTTTGGTGAATTCAGATTTTTAGGGATTTGGGGATCATCTTCGCCTTTAATAATATGACCACAACATGTTCACATGTCATAAGCTGCAGAAATCTGCTTGCCAGATTTGCCTCTGAACACTTTTAGGAGTATTATTAAGTGAATTGTACAGTCCTAAAGCACAGCATGGAGGTTGGAAATGTTCCTTTATAAGTTGTGAGCAGAGGCCATTTCCCTGGCCCTCCCATCAGTGGGCTGTAGCCTTACTGTGGGGAATCAAGCACTGGTTGCAAGAATTTCTGCTGGGAGATGGAGAGATGGACCTGTGTAGGCTGTAACATGCTTGCCAGGTCTCCTATATACTGTTTAGGCTTCTTTGAGTAGAAGAGTAAAGCCAGAAATGCCAGCAGCCATACCCATCAGCAGTAACTCAGCATTTTGCCATTTCCTGGGATAAATGCACATTGGAAGCCCATCTTTCTAGCTGGGTGCCTGTGCCCAAGGAAGACTGAGGGGTGAAAATGTAGCAGCATGGAATCCTGCACCACATGCTCAAGAGAGAGTGGCTTGATGCTACCATGCCTTCATGGGAACCCAAGGCTGTGTTAGGATTGGTGACGATACATGAGCTGTCAGATTCCCAAGTGTCTGTGATGCTGGAGCCACTGATGTCCAGCTATTTAATCTTTGGAGAAGCTCAGTGTAAGTTCAGTCCTTGAGGTCTGGTGCTAGGCTTTGTGGTTTGGGGCTTTTTTCCATTAGAAATCTGTTGGAAATTATACTTTATTGTGCTGTGTAGCCCTGGCATTCTGGGCTCATGTGCTTAGAACCTCTGGGTTCATATGCTTAGGATCCTGAGGACACGTTTTGTCTTTGAAGAGTGACATTGCATTTCACCCCTGGTACATGTTGTGGCTAGTAGTTCATGCAGAGGCAACTCAGATAAAAATTGTCACCAACTCAAAAACAAAATAGAGTTTTTTTGATTTTAAGTTCTTACAATTTCAAGGTATTCCAGATGTTCTCAATTTCCCACACAGGCTCACTGTGCCCACCCAGAAATGTTGTCCAGCCAGATATTTTTTTTTTTTTTTTTTTTTTTTTTTTTTTTTTTTTTTTTTTTTTTTTTTTTTTTTTTTTTTTTTTTTACTGTTTATATTTGTCTGGATCTCTGGAGGCCTATCAACGTGTTTGGAGTAGCACTGCAGATCTGTCTAGGGGGCATGTTTCCAACAGCAGACATATGGGACTTTGTCCAGCTTTCTCCCAGGCTGTCAGATTTATTGCATGTGCTCAGCCTGGCAGGAACCCAGCAGCTCAGGTACCTCAGGAGCAGAGGAGACTTTTCAGGCACAGCCTGGAAAACCCAGGACAACATATGGTAGTGTTGTGCCTGTCTGGAAGCATTCTGCATCTGGTGGGGTACTGGTCAGGTGTGAGGTCAGGGGAAAAAAGGAAAACCTTCAGCTGTTGGGGTGGTGGGATGTGCTACATCTTTAATTGCTCTGTGGCAAAGCCAAGGCTTTGTCTTGCTCCCCAGGGGCAGGACAGCAGCCCAGGTACTCCTGTGCATGGGTTTTATAAAATCCTGAGGTACCAGACTGAAGCCAGTGGGAAACTTTGCTCTGATTTCATTGGCCTTTGGATTAAGCCCTACCAGTGTTATTCTAGCCAGTTGATTTATTAGGCAGTGGCAGCCCTGAAGGAGCTGGGTGAAGGCTTTGCCTCCCCAGCCACAGGGTACATTCTGTGCTGGAGTGTCAGTGCTGTCACAGAAGTGAGCTGCACGTACCTGACAGCAACAATCCCATGTGCAATTAGAGCACAGGGGACTGACTTCTTTCAGCAAGGGAAAAAACAAATACCACCTGCTGCTTTGTGCCTCCTTCTAGGCACTAAAAGATGTTCTCTTGAATAAAACCATCAGGTTTTGCCATTTTGATGCTGTAACTGATGCTGGAAGAATTTAGCTTGGAGCTGGGCAGAGTTTGTTTGGTGTCTGCAGGGGTGGTGGTTTCTGAGTGTCTTGTTGGTCCACTTCAGTCTGCTGCAGCTGCACTGAAAAATTGAGGTGAAATACTTCTTAAAATGACAATGCACCTACTTCCTTGACTGCAGCATAATTGAGAGCAGAAATAAGCCCCTTGAACTCTCTAAAGAATACTTCTCAGGTTAATCTGTTCAGTACTTAAGCCTCAAATTTACAAGTGGCTGACTTACTATTGTACCAGCAATGAATCTTTGCTTCTACTTTGTGATTGTTGTTTTGTTTGTATTTGGTGTTTGTTTTTGTTTTTTTTAATTATACTAGGGAGCTGATCCAATTTGCTCCATTGTCACATCATCACTACTGCAGACTTCTGGAAGGTCTTAGGGTCATTGTCAGGCTGGCCTCCATTTAGCTGAAGCTAAACTTTGAATCTGAACCAGAGTTTTGCCCTGTGTCATGCTCTTCCCTAAGGGATTGTAGATCATATCATGAGGAAGGAGAGATGTTGGTCATCCTGTTGTGAAACTATGGCAAAGAGACGGGGTTAACTAGGTCAATTACTATTACTAGTGTCATGGTTTGACACTGGCACAATGCTAGTGCTCTTATGAAAATGTAATTTTTTAATTGAATGTTGTGAAATGGAATTGAGAATAAAGTAGGTTTAAGCTTAATAATAAGAAAAAAAAAAGACATTTATTAAGCTATGATTATAAAAGAGAGAAAGGAAGGGAAAAAATACATATAGATTTAAATGAGAACTTTGTAAAATATTCTTTTTCTTACTATTTAATTTTAATAAACTATAGTGAGATATAATTTGGACTTTAATTAGGTTTCCACCCCCCAGGCAATTGATATTTAGTTTATTGAGGGAGACAGGAGTTTTTCTTGTGCTATAGACCCTCTTAGGAAACACAGATGGAACATCTTGTGTTTCTATATTATACATGGCACTGCTTGGAGAAAAGTTTGATATGGTGACTTTTTTTTTTTATGTACAGTGCTTTTATTACTAATGCATGGATGGACAGACTGCTTTTAGGTTTTTTTTTTAAGGCTGTCTTGCTAAGAGGGGAGAAAATAATAGTTTAGTTTTTTATTTTTGGGACTACAGTCTCCCCTATTTTCTTATTTTCTTCTGGGGCTGAGGGTTTAAGAAAAGAGATTTTTTTCTCTTTTTTTTTTTGAGGACAGGGGTATTACCACAAACTCTTTAACTTTTTTCTGTTTGCTCTACTTCTGTCTTTTTTTAGCTGAATCAGGTTTCTTGATTTATTGGCATCTTCTTAAAATACAGTCTTTTTTGAAGGAGAAGATTGGTTTAGTTTGTGGCTAATACGGAAAAGTCTAGCTAA